AAAATTAAACTATTTAAATATATAATAATATTATTACAAATAAATTAGAATATATAAAATAAAAATAAAATAATAAAATAATTTAAAAATGGAAAGAATAAAATATTATAAATATTATTTAAAAAAATTATTAAAAATATAAAATATAAAAGACTGTATCGGTACCCTCTCAGGTAAGATAAGATGGGTAGCATAGAATTTGTGAAATGTTTAATGACCTAGTAGCTTATCAGGCAATCGAGTGAAAGTTACCTGCGGTAGAAGGAGAACTATGTCTTAAGTTTTGTCTTGTATATATATATTGAAGCTTAGTGAAAAACCAAAGCTTATGATGTCTTATACGGTCACACTCTCCTTGGCTTTTGTAGGTTGTTTCCTCTGCCATTTTTGGAGCTCGATATAGGGTTGGAGAATGGCGGGGAAGAATAAAAAGAAGCGTTGTATTTTGTGTAAAGTGGTTGAGAAGTTTGCCTCTAACCTTAAACGGAGACCAGCTGAGGCACCCAATGATTTTAAGGACATAGTTCTGTCCTTAGCAAAAGCCGTCAGATTTTGTTATGCTGAGACACTCGGCAAGTGGCCCGTCTTAGACCCTCCCAGAGTCCTCATTTATACAGCTCTCAACGATAAGGTCCATGCATTTCCAATAACTTCTTTATTCAATTCTTCTTCTTATTCTCTATATATAATATATATCTACGTGCAAGCATCGCAGGGTAAGAAAATAGTTGCAATGGAATGTGGCCAAACAAGTGATTGTGTACAACTGAAAGACCCTGAAATGTTAAAGGACTTATATCAGATCAAAAGATGCTTGACACGAACCATGCTTGTCAGCAAAAAACGCTTTCGTGCCAAATTATTTGCTGCTGGCTTTGTCAAGGAGGATGTTCTCCTAAGGAAGAGAAGAGCTCGGGTGTACGTTTCACTTTTTACAATAATTGTTTAAAAAAAATTAAAATTAAAATACATAAAATTAGAAGAAAATGTATTTTTTTATTTATAAGCTAAATTTCATCATACTAAAATTTAAAATACTAAATATTAAATAAAAATAATTACAAATATTTATATAATAGTACCAAACTTTCAATATAAAAGCATTAAAATGTCATAAAAATAATTCAAATGACAAATAATACCAATTAAACATATTTTTGATATCATAATAATTTAAAAGATTAAATACATAACTTAATATTAAAGTCTTAATATAACCACTAGGGTTAGCCTAGTGGTTGGGAGGGGAAGGGTCGGAGTAGTTAGAAGCATGAAAACCTAGGTTCAATCCTCATTGCGGTCATCTTTGTAAAGTTTCCTATCTTTACCAAAAAAAAATATTAAAGTCTTAATATCTAAAAATATTAATTAGTAAAGTACGTATGAAAAAAATTTACGAATCGGTTTGCGGACTCAAGTCCATCTACCCACCCCTAGATACGGTATATGTATAATTACACACAATTTTAGTATTGATTTTAAATGAGATTCAATAATATATATATTGTATATTATTATAGTCTTTACCTATATTTTTTTTAATAAAATATTAATATATATTACATCTATAATATAGGTAAAAATAAACTTTAATAACAAGTATTGTATCATTATAGGGGATATGGTCACTATATATATGATTTTATTTTTTTTTATTTCAGTGATCCTTTTATAAGCAATAAGATGTTTTAACTTGAAATGAATTTTGATGAGATTCTAAAGCCAGCTTTCACAGTTATACTTGATAAAGAAGCAAAATGTTTGTTGGTGTTGATCCGTGGAACTTGTAGTTTAACAGACACGCTGACAGATGCAATGGGTGCTCCCGTTTCCTTCGAACATAAATTCATTTGCAGTGATGGTGAGGTGAGAAGGAACACTATTTCAGGACATGCACACCGTGGTATGGTTTCTGCAGCAGATTGGATTAGAAAGCGCTGCACCCATATATTAATTACAAGATGCTCTTCGTCAATACCCTGGTTTCCAAATCAAGGTATTAATTGTCACCCTGTTAATTATACTGCCAAACTCTTTTGGAAGAATCTACGTTCATTGATTTTAATTAATGCACCCTGGTAATGCCACATATAATATTATCTTTTCATAGATCGTGGGGCACTCGCTTGGTGGTGGCACCGCTGCACTGTTGACATATAAGCTTAGAGAGATAAACGAGCTCTCTTCATGCACTTGTGACACGTTTGGCCCAGGCATGTACTTAAAACTATATTAACTTCTTTAATTTAATTACACCTAAAGTTCTAATTTGTTCGATTCAGTAGTAACTAATTAATTCAATAGGCTTTGTACTATAATTAGTGTTAACCACATGTAGAATAGTGCGTTATTACGCAGATACGACATTGAATGAATAAGTGTTAAAAGAAAAAAAAAATGAAAAGAAGTTATTTCAACCATGATATGCTATTCTCATTTAAAATACTGAAATAATGAAATAATACAACCAAATATTTCATACTAATAATATAGTTAAAAAAATACATTATTTATACCTATTATAAAAAGGATATATTTTAGTAATTATTATTTCTTTGATTTTTATTCTTTAGTAGACTATTATACCCCTTAGAATAAAACAAAAAAAATCTTCTTATATCTTTTTTAAATAATTATCCGTAATTTTTAATATTTGTTTATGTAATTATTAGAGATACAAAATGCCTCAAATTTTCTAGTAATAATAACAATGAGAGTTAATATAAATTTTTCATCTAGTAATGCAAAATAAGTGAAGCTTACTTAATAGTATTTATTAAAATTTAAAAAAGAGATAGGAACAAGATTTCAAGCGGACATATCATATGTATGAAATGATCCTTTCCTGAAATTTGTCTGTCTTGTAATAATCATTATTGTTAAGTCTTTGTTAATTGTAATCTTTACAACTGTCTGCATGACATCGGAGTTAGCTGAATTTGGAAAGCCCTTTTATCACTTCCATTATAAATGGTTGTGACATAGTGCTTACACTCTCAGCTTCTTCTATTCATGATTTCATTTCCGAGGTGCTTAAACTAGTTCTCCCAACCTATCGTGACTTTGGCAAATATGAATTTATGTTAATTGCTAAATAATTTTTTTTATAACATTATCCGTTAAAAAATGGTTTGATCTTTGCTCAAGTTAACTTTCATTAGGGCAATGCATAATATTGATTGCATGAGTTACAGGGTCGAACTAAGCGTAAAATTTTCCTAAAGGATGTGCGTCGCTCTATCAATGCATTTGGGTCTCGTTTGGTAACCCGTGACACCAAGGTAGTTTCAAGTTCCCTTGTTTACATTTGACAATAATTGTATTCACTAAAATGTTTTCTCTTGCATTTATTTTACACATAATAATATGAGGAACAATGTATTGATCCATTGATCTTGACAAATGCTTATATGTCTCCTATATTTGCATATGAATTTCTCATATAATATATATCTTTTCATTATCTTACATAGAGATATTTTAAATTAATTGAAAGGTTGGGTTGAAGAATAAACAAAGAACTCCATCGTGGTTTCTCTGGACTCGATGTGAGAAGACTCTCGCATTGCCACAATCAAAATCTGAGAATCTTGATGAAACTTCTCAATCATCCAAGCCATGTTATGAATCTCTTTTGACTCAAGAGTTAATTCTTGAGTCTGCAAGTGATGAGGACGAATGTAATTCATCTAATGAAGAATCTGACCATGATGACACGGATGAAGAGAAACAAATCACATCTTCTACTCAAAACATTACTACTCCCACTAATTGCAGTATCTCTATCGATGAATTGTTGAAGAAATTGAAGGAGCTTGAACTAGAGGCACGTGATGATATCCCTAGCATTCATGCTAAGGAAAAAGAAACAAGCACAACCAAAGACACCGTTGAAGAGATCAACATGGTTGTTCACTATGAAGAAAGTGTTGGCACAGTCACAACACCAAAGACCTTGGATAGACATCTTTATCCTCCGGGTAGGATCATGCATATTGTCCCTGCACCTTTGATTGAAAATTCTGATACAAACGACAATGATCTTGATGAGAAACATGTTTACTTATATGAAACGTCTAAAGAATTATATGAAAAGCTCATACTTTCAAGAAGGATGATACTTGATCATACGATGAAAAAGTATTTGAAGGTGTTACAACAATTAATCAATCAGCTAGAGAAAGAGAAGATCCAATGTGGTGGGTCATGAGTCAAAAGAATTAATTAATACCAAATGTATTGATACTACTTGGCTTGTGGATCATAGAACCTCTAGATTCTAATTATCATTTTTGTTGTGTGTATTAATTATAATTCTAATTAAATCTTAGCCTAGCACTGTGTAATTTTTAGCAGTTATGTGTTAATATGAGACTCTAGCTTGGTGCTTGTGTTTTGATAAGTATGTGTTATAATAGAATATTCATTGATCAGGGTGATGATAGTAGTGGGAAAATGGGGTTTGGCGTTTATGTTATTTCTAGTATGAGAAATACAATTCTATTTAAATAAAGAGAAAAAAAAAAGATTGTTAACATATAAAAAAATAGTTTAATTTAGAATTATATTGATAATTACATATGATATTTTAGCCCCATACATCAACATGTGATTACACAATATAATGGGATATGATTGTGTGAGGAGAATTGTTTATTGCACCATCTTTTTATATTATATATGCACTCATCACCATTGTTTTGGAAGGTGTTAAAAATAATAATTAGGTTAAGATCAAAAAATGGATGAAAGAAGCAAAGTCTTAATTTTTAAGGCAAATCGTGCATGATGCACTCACATTCCTAGGATTGTCACATAACACAAACGTGGGGAGACAATAGGGCTAGTGCTAGTCTCACTTCCCACTAGAGCCTTTTGTTTGGGCTAACCTTAGATGCCTTGCGGAGAATAAGGAGAGTTTTTGACGATCTAAAAAACTAAAATTCTACATGTACCCCAACTCTTTTCCAAGCAACTACTCTTCAATGCACTTTGATGCTCAACGTATCAAATTTTAATTCTCCACCTTCACCCCCATGTGATTACTCTCATGATTCTGAAGATGAGGAAAAAAAAAAAGTTCTTCATGAAAATACAAAGCAAAATAATGCCCGAAACCCAGTAAGCATACAGAGAACAGCAAAGATTATACAGTTGCCTTTTGGCCCTCCACCCAAGATACAATAACAATTGGAGTTTGTTTTTGAAGATCAAAGCATTCAAAAACCCCAAATTGATTGCTGACTTGGATCCTATGCCATGTGTACAAATCCAAAATTTATGTGATGCTTGCACGGGGGCTTTGCTTCTTTCACCCTTCTTTTTAGATTCTGCACCCATCATTTTTCTTTTAGAATACTCATTCCGAAATAATGATGATTGTGATATAAAAAGATTGTGTAATAATATATAAAATTATTGGTGTTTGGATTTTTTTTTTTAACTTTTTAGAAAATCTTAAACAATCTTGATTTTCTATATTTAATAATTATTTGAAAATAAAAGATTCTCAGAAAACATAATTTCTGATGAATTATTTTTATCTCATTTTTACACAAAAATATTTTCATGAAAAATGAAAATCTAATTTTTTTGAGTTAAAAAACTTTTTATGTATGTAAAAAGATCATATTATTTCTAATTAATATTTTTTTTATCTATTATCGGTTGAACAATAAATACAAAAACACATTAATTTTATTAATTAATTAAAATATAAATTAAATTAAATAATTCATGAGATATAGTATAAACTTTTAATAAATTATTTTATAGTATTTTTTATTATAAAATATTTTATTGTTATCAGGTAGGAATTACTATTTAGCTTTGATCACTTTTCTCCTTAATCTAATAATATAATCATATAACTTTTATAAGATATAGTATTTTATAGTTATTTCAAGTTTATAAATTATAAAATTGCATTGTTAATTTTTTATTACGATTTAGTTTCTAAATTTAACAAATTATTTAAGTAAAATAACGTTACATTTTTATTGTTTTCTAATTTACTTGTATTTTAATTTTAATTGTTAATTTAATTCTTTTTCTTATTATGATAAACCATGAAATTATATTTTACAATTTGATTTATTGAAATTTTACGTATAGTTTAATTATATATAAATTGATTATGCATTATTTTAAACTAAATAATTAATTTTTTTATGTTAGATTATGACATAATTACACCTTAGAGCATCTCCAATGGGGGTTGCTTATAAGCAACCCCTCTGCCACATCATTGTCAAATCACCAGTCTTTGTGGGTTGCTTAAATTTTAGCAGAGTTGCTTAGTGGGCCACTGCTGATTTGGCAGTGATGTGGTAGAGGGGATTGCATATAAGCAACTCCCATTGCAGATGCTCTTACAGTTGAAAGATATTTATGTACAAACTTTTGGTTGGTATCTCATGTGTAACAAGTGTGGTCTAATATGGCTATGTGAGCCTAAAATTAAGAATGAATCTAGGCCGAGTGAGATTTGGCCTCATTATCATATGACCTAAAGTTTGAAGGAAGGCCCAAAATATTTTAGCGCCAACAGTAAAGTTGCTAAAAAGCATAAATAGTATTGATGCATTGTGTGTCTCCTATACAAATATATCCTCCATCTATTTATACCTTTTACAACCAAAATGCAATGAATTGAAATCACTAACAACTCGTAGTGCATTATGCTATATTGTTATCTTTGAATATTTTTTTTTTTTTTGTAGAACAACAAACTTAGAATTTGGGACTTGTTAGTCGTTCAGCCCAATGTCCCAAAGTGCCCCAATAATTTAGCACCAACAAAGACCTTATAAACTCACTAATTAATCTGAATGGAATTCTGGAGTTTCAGGAATAGAAGATGAGAAGAACCAACCATTACTAATTATGTTATTTTGAATCACCCAGCATGCTGAAGAAGAGAAAAATAGTTTTCATCTGTCATGAATGTTACCAAATTCATTAATATATTTTTTCTGTCTATGAAAGCCATGGATACGTACAGCTCACAAAAGCTTTACCATCATGGTATTTTTTCAATCACGTTGATATCAATTACAGATATCACAAAATTGATTGTGAAAATTTGATTTTTTTTTTAATTTAAAATTTGAATGTATTTTGATTGATTCTTCAAGTTGAAGCATTTATTGCCGATAATAATATAAATTAAATGTACTAATTTGTGATATATATTTTTAATTGATTTTTAGAGTTTTTATTATTTTTTATTATTATTAAATATTCTCTGTCAAACACAAAAATAACTTTTTTTCAATAGTTTGACAGATATTAAATAAATAAAATTTTTTAAATTAATTTTTTTATATTTACAAGTGTTACAATATCACTTAATTAAATGATGTGAGTTTCTTACTATTCACGTCAACTTAAGTAATTAGTAGAGTTGTCATTAATT